AAGCTCCGCCCACTAGAATCAATATTTTGATGCCTCCATATTTTGATTCCCGCCGCCTAGTTTGCCCAACTGGTGTCCAGATCTGATCAAAGATGTGCCAAGACCTAAGTCCCCTGACCCTGAAACTTGTACTCTGACCTGACGAATTGTCTTGCGTTATGATGAGTGACTGCGTAGACTGATGCCTGCTGATGAAGTGAGATGTGTGGCAAATGTTGTCAGATACCTATTATGGACAGTGTGAATATTGTACCTCGACTTAAGCACATACATAAGTGCTTTTGTACCTGCTAATTCATACATGCGTTTGGAAGTCTGGAACCTACCTGGCCATCTGAATCCAATCATCTGTGTAGGCGCCAAACAGCTGTGTAGTCACTGATCCTTGTGATTTTTTAACTGAGGCTATTATGATGAGGTCAACCACTTAACCTTTTTGACTTCATGAGGAGAGGAGCCACTTGGTCAATGGTAATTGACAACACGTTATTAGGTGCCAGGGCCACAAATTACAGACAGGTAAGGTTTACAGTCAGGTGCATTGGATGACTTTATGGGGAGACAATTTAACTCACAATAGATCATGTTTATTTTTCTGCTTGTTCTGCTTTTCAGTAGATGCGTTGTCAACTCAAATGGGGTTACTCAGTTAAAGCACTAGGCATAGCTGGCTTTATTTATAGGGATACTGATGTTTTATATTTATTGGAAGGGTAGCTTTGCTGCTGCTCCAAATATGATGATGAAGCCCAGATAACAGTAGAAGAGAGGGTATTAGTGATTAAGGTAAGCTGTCAGACATATTCTCAGGGAGGGTCCTCTTGCAGTCGTACTGGCCGACAATGAGGACCAACGCTGGGACGGCCGTCTGGACGGAGCTGGTGGTGCTGGTGCCATACCGCGCCAGTCACGTGCCCAAGTACCACGAGTGGATGCAGTCGGCCGAGCTGCGCCAGCTGACCGCCTCCGAGCCGCTGACCCTCAACCAGGAGTACGCCATGCAGCAGAGCTGGCTCAATGACGACGACAAGTGCACGTTCATCGTGTTGGATCGGGTGGCGCTGGAGCGGTGCGGCCACCAGCCGGCCGCCATGGTGGGTGACGTGAACCTCTTCCTGGCGGACGGAGCCGCAGCAGAGGCCGAGGTGATGATTGCCGAGCGGTGGGCGCGCGGCGCCGGCCGCGGCAGGCAGGCCGCCGCCGCCATGCTGCGCTACGGCGTCGAGACGCTCGGCCTAACGCGCTTCGAGGTCAAAATCGGCTTTGACAACGAGGCCAGCCAGCGGATGTTCGCCGGGATGGGGTTCTCGGAGGCGGGACGCAGTGAGGTGTTCCGGGAGGTGACGCTGGAGGTGGCCGTGACAGTCGACTGGAGCCGCCGGCTGCGCCAGCTCACCCCCGGCTACCGGCTGGAGCCGGCGCCCGAGGAGGCGACCGATGACGGGCCGGGGGCGCCCGTCGACCGAACGGGGGCGCCGGACGTTCAGGCGGGGACCGAGAATGACAGCAAGGAACTGAAGGCAGATGAGGAGCAGGTGAAGCCTTCGGGCGACGCCACGGCCAGCTGATGGGACCAGGGGGGTGGTCGCCTGCTCATCTGTGCTCTTTTACATGTTGATTTGTAGGTGATCCCTTTATTTTCATTGCCTTAAAGGTAGTGTGCCACCTTTGAAAGATTTCCCGTTTTATTTTTCCTAGGATCAGAAGCTTCTGTTTTTACCTAATATCGCAAAAAAAAAATCAAAAATGGGCCTGGAATAGTGCCTTTTTCGCCTAAAAGTTTATCGGTTTTTAGATATGTATAACAACTGTAGTGGGCTCACCTGCAAACATGCGTCGGGCAACAATCGCGAATGCGGCGCACTTGTGACAATAAGCAAAGGTCATTATAGTGTTACGACCATACGACGTACGGGAATGAGTTATCAGCTGTCTAATCGTAGACAACACTTTGGACAACACAATGTCGAGCCTTAAACTGTAAGCCTGTATTGGTGTTGTTTCTTAAATTTGGCTGTCGAACATTAATTTGTGGTTTGAAATATGATTTTATGTAAAATGATTGATATGAAACAGCCGTCTCTTAAGTTATGACCCCATTACACCACACGCAAGTGGCAGAAATGACAATGATCAGCTGACGCATTTTTCTTGGCCGAAGTCAGAGCGCGCGGCCCGACGCACCACGCGTATTTGGAAATTCCGACCTCGACGAGCATCAGAAGCCACCTAACAGGCGTGTTCGAAACCGCAGGAGATGATGATGAACGGGTTTATCGAAACTTGATTGGATGAGCCTATCGGTAATAGCGATTTTAGTGTGTGCATTTATTGTTCATAGTGGTGTGAAATGTGGTTGGGGTACGACCGACAACCCGTCGGGGCGAATTTCGCACTGGGGTACTCAAAATTTGAAGAATTTAAGACGTTTCCATAAGTTTTGAAGGTATGGATAAGTTCTAAAAATCCGGTTCTCCTTATCCGGGTCATTAACTCCATATGGTCCAAGAAAGCTGGCACACTACCTTTAATAATGTAAATTGTTTGATTAGAAATTGCGTCGTTTCATATGACTGCGTTGAATATGCATTTGAAGCGTCATTACTACGTTCCTGTTGGTTACGCAATGCGACGGTGAACTGCTTTATACTCGTATCGGCTGAAGTTGACATGCTAGCTAGCTCATAAATGCGGATGTTGCGTGTAGTATGTGTACATTTAATAAAAGTGATATACGGTGGTGTTCAACAGCGGGTCAAAAATATTGGCAAAGAGATTTTGAAGCGGTTGTATCAATGTTAAGTTCATTCCATTTCCATCCATTTCATCCATACATCCATCCACCTATGTCATCATGCAAGACTGAGATTCATTTGCAAAGGAACATTTGTGCATTTAGCGGATTGCGCACAAGCTCTTGTGATAAATGCTATTACACAAACCACTGTTCTATAGTTCCCTCAGAGTCTAAACCATCAATTTTAACTTTCTTATCACACAGTATTTCGGCTTTGGCGTGGCTTTGGAGTGTTGGAATGGACCACAGCGGAATATGAATATGGCAGAGACGACGATCCCAAAAACAAACTTTTATGGCTGCCCTCCGCCGAGCAGATACACGGTTCTCCAATCAATGAGTTGTGCTCGTTCTGCAGTTATCAAAGAAAGAACTACCTTTCCATCCCCCGGAGTAAGACTGACAACTCTTCCGCAGTGACCATGGCGCCTCAAGCAGAGCATGTCGAGGACATTCCGTTCACCAAACAGATGCGGAAGGCCACCCGTGACATACACAGCGTCAGCGACGCGCTCATCAACGCCAAACTCGGCATCGGTAAGCATGCACCGACCCGTGCTCGCTCCGGAGCATAGAATAAATGTGGATGCAAATTAATCCCTTGCCTGGTTAATCTGACAGGGTGTGTTTACAGCCATCGCTCCTCCCCTTTGGACGGTTAACACATTGTAACTATTCGTTGCAACAGGGAACTCCTTCCCCAGGCAGTGTTCGTCACCTTTCAAGCGCCGTGTCGGTGTCGCCCGTCACCACTCCAATAATGTCCTGTCGGCTGTTTGTGTCGTCTGTGACCGCTCCAACATATCCTGTCGGTGCCGAGTGTCTGCGTCTGTCGCCGCCCCAACATATCCTGTCGGTGCCGAGTCTGTGACCGCTCCAACATACCCTGTCGGTGCCGAGTCTGTGACCGCTCCAACATAACCGGTCAGTGTCTGTGTCTGTCGCCGCTCCAACATATCCTGTCGGCGCCGAGTGTCTGTGTCTGTCGCCGCCCCAACATATCCTGTCGGTGCCGGCAGCGCTGTCGGACAACGCCGTCTGGGCCGAGGGCCTGCTGGTGTTCTATGATGTGTTCGCCTACCTGGAGTCGGCGCTGGACCGGCTGGGCGACAGTCTGGTCGGAGAGCTGGACGTGCCGGGCATGCGGCGCCGCGCCGCCTTCGAGGCCGACCTGGCGCACTACCTGGGCGCCGACTGGCGGCTGCGGCACGCGCCGCGGCCGGCCGTGCAGCGCTACCTGGACCACCTGGCCGACCTGGAGCGCGACGAGCCGCACCTGCTCATGGCCTACATCTACCACCTCTACATGGGACTGCTCTCCGGCGGCCAGGTGCTGCGCGCCAAGCGCCGCCTGCTCCACCGCGTGTTGGGCGGCAGCGCCGACGCGCCGGGCAACGCCGTCACCGACTACGGCGCGCACACGATCCGCCAGCTGAAGACGCGGCTGGCGGCGGCCATGAACGCGGCCGCCGACCAGCTGGATGACGTCACCCGGCGTCAGCTGATCGACGAGAGCCGAGAGGTGTTTGTGCGCAACAACGAGATCGTGGCCACTGTGCGCGGCGCCGAGCAGGTGCTGCTGCGCCGACTGGGCACCGCCGCCCTGCTGCTGCTGCTGCTGGCCGCGCTCTACTGGCTGCTGCTCAGGTAGATACCGCCACCAGGCGCCTGGCCCTCCTCCGACTCCCATTATGGAGAGAATGGAGTGCCCGTAACTCGCCGCTCGCAGAGGAGTTGGGCGGCAACGTGCCGCAGAGTCCAGCTCTCATACATGGTAGCGGTGAACCGTGGAGCGCTGCTCAAAGTGGCTCAGGTGATCTTAAAGTCTAGTTTGATACAGAGCGTGTTGTGAGGAAGTGCGAACCCGTCACATGGTGCATGTATAATTGCGGCGAGTGTGCCACGGACCTCATCTTCTGCAGTTTTATGGATGTCATTACTCGTATACTGGGCGCCAGCGCCCAGCATATCGTTATTATTGCATGGTAGTACCGGAGGGCCGTGTTGACTGATGTTTTACGAGCGTATTACTGTGAGCCAAGCGCTGTGTCTTTCCTTAAAGCGATCTTTAGAAGAAGGTTACTAGAATAATGGCATACTTATCCAGTATTCAACTCAAATGCCTAGAATACATATATAAAGTATGCGTTTAACCCGTGTTCTGGTGTAAAAATGACGTCCCAAATGGTATGTGACAGCAATGTAAGCAGTCTATATGTGACATGTATTACAAAACAGCAGCACCTTCACTGAGCATACCAACAGCCGCGGTAATCGCTCACGTAACAAAGCTCTCGTACCGGCGCGGCGGAGACTAGTGGACACGGGCCGGCGCGGTTGGCTGGCCGGCCGGCCGGCGTCACGCGCGCTCCTCCAGCAGGTTACGTCCGTCTATGAGCGCGCCGAGGAAGGCCAGCTTGTCGGCGGTCTCGGCCAGCGCCATGCTGTTCCAGTGGTGCGGGTGGACGGTGCGCACCGTGTAGCCGAGCATCTCCAGGTGGCGGCGGCGCAGCAGCTGGCCGCCCGTCGGCTGCGGACGGTTCGTGCAGTACTCGTGCGTGGAGGGCACCAGCAGCGCCACGCTGAGGGCAGAGGGACCGGTCAGGGGGGAGGCACCGACACTGCCGGACGAAGGGGGGGGGGGGGGGTCAGGTGGCACCAGCACCGCCACACCGACGGACGGGGGAGAGGGATGGCGACTTTGGCCTTGTGGATGATACCAGAGAAGGTCCGCTACCAACACGAAACGACGAACATGTCAGATCAGGTTAGGAGGGAGATTCTAGCTCAAACTGTGGGTGGGACAGTAGTTGCTGAGACGAGATAGCCGAATAATTAATTAACCCACGAGCCGCTGGGGGAGGGGGGCATAAAGTTGCCCCCCCCCCCTTTACGTTTTGTGGAATATCTCCGAAACCTGATGAGCTACGAACGTGAAACTTGGCATAGCTTCAAATGAATACCTAGACAATATTTAAGGAAAGTTTGGTGGTTGTAGCATTTAAGATGACGTCATAAAGTTTTGTCGTTTTCCGATATGGACCGATCTGATCGTCATCCGATCTGATGTCGCTGAGCATTAAACTCAACTGTAAATAAACTAGACATCACCTGCTGTCATCCTAAAACATCTAAGTACACTTCCATCTAGTTCCTGACCAGTAATCGGCCCTTTATGTTCGGTCCCATTGTATCTGATCTTTCGTGAGGAAACTGAGAGTCGCAAATCTATAATTTGACTTATGACGTCACTGTGACGTCATTTCAAATTAGATTGACACCAAATTTGGACACCACAACCTCGGCTAGGTATTCAGGACGATGTGTGCAAAGTTTCGCTTCTCTATCTCTTCGCGTTGCGATGATATCGTAGCAGAAGTAAAGGGGGGAACTATATACCCCCCCCCCCAGCGGCCGGCATGTGGCGCGGAGGCCCAGCGGCCGCCGGGTTAAAACGCGTCCTGTGTGTGCCGTAAGTCATCAGTGGTTTTGCTACCCGACCAGTGCTGTTTGGCAGCAGCTGAGATGGCGGGATGTTTATCTCCGAGACACACCGCGCTTAGAACAAAACAGTCCAGCAAAAAGAGTCGCGGCCCGGTCCGTCGTCTCACAAAACAAACAAGGTCACGACAGAGATGGCGGCGGGGCGTGAGAGGACTGTACAGCACCCTCCTCTCCTCACTGACCTAATAACTCTCCCCTCTGACCTGGTGACATGTCCTTCCCTCTCAGCCCTGCCCCCCCCCCCCCCCGAGTACCTGGTGACCCTCTCTCCCTCCCTCCGAGTACCTGGTGACCCGTCCTTCCCTCTGCCTTGGTGACCCCCCTCCCCTGAGTACCTGGCGACTTTCTCTCTGACCTGGTGACCCCCCCCCCCTCTGACCTGGTGACCCTCTCTCCCTCCCTCAGAGTACCTGGTGACCCGTCCCTCTGACCTGGTGACCCGTCCCTCCCCTCTGACCTGGTGACCCCTCCGTCCTCCCGAGTACCTGGTGACCTCCCCTCTGACCTGGCGACCCGTCCCCCATCTGACCTGGTGACCCCTCACTCCCCTCTGACCTGGTGACCCCCTCTCCCTCCCTCCGAGTACCTGGTGACCAGCGGTCCGTCCGTGTCGGTGAAGCCGCCGTCGGGCCGCCGGTACACCACCAGATCGGCGGTGAACTGGTACCCGGCGGCGCGCACCCCGCAGTGGACCCGGTCGGCGCCCCCGACCAGCGCCGACAGCGTGTCGCGCACCTCAGCCACCAGCTGCCGGTGCGCCGCGCCCGTGGCTGGGTCTGTGGGGGGGGGGGGCGGCGGGCGGGGTCAGGGGCCGGGTCTGCGACTGAGGGGACGAGGACTGTGCTGACGTAACGAGGAGTCGGGCCGGGTCTGTGGGACACGGGGGGGGGGGGCGGGGTCAGGGGCCGGGTCTGCGACAGAGCGGACGGGGACTGTGCTGACGTACCGAGGAGTCGGGATGGGTCTGTGGGGGGGCGGCGGGCGGGGTCAGGGGCCGGGTCTGCGACTGAGCAGACGGGGGACTGTGCTGACGTACTGGGGAGTCGGGCCGGGTCTGTGGGGGGGGGGGGGGGTCAGGGGCCGGGTCTGCAACAGGGGGGACGGGGACTGTACTGACGTACCGAGGAGTCGGGCCGGGTCTCTGCCGGAGACGGGGAGACTGGGTCTGCGGTTGTGTCAGATCGGGAGGGCAGGTGAAGAGATGACGAGGCGGGATACAATGACTGCGAAAATGGGGAACGGATTCCAACGGACACGGTAGCTGAATAGTTAGCCAAACATCACTATTGGGATGCTCTGAGCTATACAATACAATTATACATGGGTCATGGACCATGGTGGAGTAAGTTACAACTCCACAGTTCACACCCGATCGGTTGCGCCACCGGCTCCGCGCCCTCACCGGGCAGTCCCTTGGCGTAGACGTCTGTGAACCAGGGCACGCTCTGGTCGGGCAGGTTGAGCCGGACGGCGCGGTTCACCTCCATCTGCAGCCGCCGCAGCCGGGTGGCCGCCGACTGGGCACCCGCAGCGCGGCCGGCCGGCGCCGACGGCCCGCCGCCGGCCGGCGCCTGCTGCAGCGCGCCCTGCCGACAGCACAGACAGTCAACGGACACCCGCAGGTGGTACGTGGGTCAGACAGACCACCGGGGACGGCCCGCCGCCGGCCGGCGCCTGCTGCAGCGCGCCCTGCCGACAGGGCGGCGGTCAGTGTACGCACATATACCGACTGGTGGACTGTGCCCGCGGGGTGGGTGCGTGACGCGTAGTCTGTCTTTAAAGTACCGCGCAAAGTAACGATGGATCCATCAAGCCTGACCGAGGGGCGAGGAAGGGCCTGTTATAATTTGAAAGTCACCCAATCAATTGACCTGGGGAATGGACGAGGACGTCAGTTGCTTCGGTGACTCAAATTTAGCACGTCAGGCTTCTTGATGGATCCACCGTTACTTTGCGCGGTACTTTTAAGACAGACTGTACAGTCTACTGTTGAAGTGTACCGGCAGACAGGGCCGAGGAAGAAATGGACTTGGTTAATGACCGCATGACTTGTTACAGCAGACAATCCAGTTTGGCAGTTCCCAGCAAAATACATTTTGATGACGCAACAATAAGCGTTCCAATTGCTGATTTAGGAAAGGTGCAAACTGAAACCCCTCGCCTCATTAAAATTAATGTATCCCCATCTCCGCCGTCCGGAAGGTCCCATGAGCCCCTCGCCAGAAGTATATCCCGGCTCTCCACCCGTTAACCAAGTATCATAATTACCGTCTGTTCGACCATGTGCTGGATCTGCCGCTCGGTCTTATCCAGGAAGGCCTGGCCGAGGACGGTGCGCGCCAGCTGAGCGGGCAGCTGGCCGTACAGACAGAGCGACAGACAGGCGCGCAGGGTGCTCTCGGCCGTCAGTCGGTACAGGCTCCTGGCAGAGGGGACAGAGGGACCGTCAGTCGGTACAGGCTCCTGGCAGAGGGGACAGAGGGACCGTCAGTCGGTACAGGCTCCTAGCAGAGGGGACAGAGGGACCGTCAGTCGGTACAGGCTCCTAGCAGAGGGGACAGAGGGACCGTCAGTCGGTACAGGCTCCTGGCGGAGGGGACAGAGGGACCGTCAGACGGTTCAGGCTCCCGGCAGAGGGGACAGGGGGGTCGGGGTGTTACATACAGACGGTTCAGGCTCCTGGCTCGAACACACAGATACACCAACAAACCTAACATTGCCCCTTAGTATCAATGAAATTGTGACAAGTCATGTCATTGTCGCCCCACTCCCCAGATACCGCCTCTGACCTCTCAGTCCAGACTCCCCAGATCTCCCAGTCCAGACTCACCCCTCCCAGTCCCAGACACCACCCCAGACCTCCCAGTCCAGACTCCCCAAAGTTCCCAGTCCCAGATACCGCCACTGACCTCCCAGTCCCAGACACCACCCCAGACCTCCCAGTCCCACACTCCCCTGACCTCCCAGTCCAGGCTCATCCCTCCCAGTTCAGACTCACCCCTCCCAGTCCAGACACCACCCCGGACCTCACAGTCCAGACTCACCACTCCTCCCAGTCCAGGCTCACCACTCAACGTCCCAGACTCACCCAGACCTCCCAGTCCAGCCTCCCCCCTCCCAGTCCAGACTCACCCTGACCTCCCAGTCCACCACACTCCCCAAAGTTCCCAGTACCAGACACCACCCCAGACATCCCAGTCCAGACTCCCCAGATCCCCCAGTCCAGACTCCCCCAGACATCCCAGTCCAGACTCCCCCAGACATCCCAGTCCAGACTCACCCAGACCTCCCAGTCCCAGACTCACCCTGACCTCCCAGTCCCAGGCTCACCCCTCCCAGTCCAGGCTCACCCCTCCCAGTCCAGACTCCCCAGACCTCCCAGTCCAGACTCACCGGGAGACGATGTCGGCGGCCGCCGCCAAGAAGTCGTCGAACGGGCCCGAGTCGGCCGGCCAGTAGCCGGTCCGAAACGCCGCTGACAGCACCCGCTCGGCCACCACGCCCGTCACGTGGTCACGGTGCTCCACCACGTGCCTGCCCGCACAGCGGTCACGTGACAGGCAGGGACGGCTACCCGGGATTACAACGGAGCAGTTAGAATGGTTTGATTAGACAGGATCATAAGACACCCTGAAAGATAGCTGCCGTAACGTGTATCAGAGCCAGACGCATGGCTAGCCTCGTTCACTTTTCAGCAGTTCCCACCCGTCCCGTCATTTCCCACCTGCAGAGCGTCTCCATGACGGCGTCGTCGGCGTAGCGCGCCCCCTCCAGGCAGCTGGCCAGCTTGTCGACGGCGCGAGAGGTGAGCTCACTTCCGTTACCGTCGGGCGTCTCTGTGAGGGCGCGGAACCGGGCCAGAGCCGCCCCCAGCACGGAGGTGTTGCCGGGAACGACACCGCGCCGGCGCAACGCCGCGCCCGCCAGCCACACCACCGCCTCTGGGGGAGAGGCCGGGGAACTGGTCAGAGTTTGGCAGACCTCAGCGGCCACTCACCACTGCCTCTGGGGGAGAGGCCGGGGAACGGGTCAGAGTTTAGCAGAGCTCAGCGGCCACTCACCACTGCCTCTGGGGGAGAGGCCGGGGTACAGGTCAGAGTTTAGCTGAACTCACCCACACTCCACCGCCTCTGGCAGAGACGGAGGAACGGGTCAGAGTTTAGCTGAACTCAGCGGCCACTCAACACTGACTGTGGGAGAGGCCGGGGAACGGGTCAGAGTTTAGCAGACCTCAGCGGCCACTCACCACTGCCTTTCGGAGGAAGTGAAGGGGATAGGTCAGATTCAAACAGATTAATTTCTAACAGGACTCGCCGCAATCCGAGATATCTTCGCCCCTCAGTCACACTCAATTCACAGCCCGCTCCAGCAAGGTCATGTTTACGTACGAGGCGGATAATTTTTGACTAGGGTGTGGGCAAGACTAAGCACAAAGGAAGGGTACTTTCCAGCCACAAACTTTTCAGCCATTTTTAGTTCAATATGTTTGACAGGCGCATTTCAACATGCTTGCATATTACCCTGGTTATGTGAAATCACTGCAACTCTGCCTCCAATTCCTCTTATGCCGTCAAATGTATAAATATCCCTTAACCCGTCGGTCTCAAACTTATAAACATAAATTGTTTAATAACAAAAAAAAAAACGCCATTGTCGATCTTATCAACAAAAAATGCGCAGGACTTCCTCCTCGCAGCCCTCCTTCCCTTCACTCTCTGCCTTGGAAATGATTCAGAGGACACCATAGATGTCAGCGCCGGCAGCAGCCGGACGGTGGCGTTATTTCGCGGACCTACCGGTGGATGTCAGCGCCGGACGGTGGCGGTATTTAGCGGACCTACCGGTGGATGTCAGCGCCGGACGGTGGCTGAGTTTCGCGGACCTACCGGTGGATGTCAGCGCCGGCAGCAGCCGGACGGTGGCGTTATTTCGCGGACCTACCGGTGGATGTCAGCGCCGGACGGTGGCGGTATTTAGCGGACCTACCGGTGGATGTCAGCGCCGGACGGTGGCTGAGTTTCGCGGACCTACCGGTGGATGTCAGCGCCGGCAGCAGCCGGACGGTGGCGGTATTCCGCGGACCTACCGGTGGATGTCAGCGCCGGCAGCAGCCGAACGGTGGCGTTGTTCCGCGGACCTACCGGTGGATGTCAGCGCCGGCAGCAGTAACGGCCGATGGCGGTATTCCGCGGACCTACCGGTGGATGTCAGCGCCGGCAGCGGCCGGACGGTGGCGTTATTTCGCGGACCTACCGGTGGATGTCAGCGCCTGACGGTGGCGTATTCCGCGGACCTACCGGTGGATGTCAGCGCCGGCAGCAGCCGGACGGTGGCGTTGTTGAGCGCCACAGTCAGCTGGGTGAGCTGGTGCAGGTGCTCGGTGGACTGCGGCGTCCGGGCGCGATCGACACGAGACCGGCCGATATGGATCTGCGGACAAAATACCATCTCAATGTCACGATTCGTTGACTGAAGATAGAAAGCGAACATAAATAAAGCAGTAAAAAGGGAAACAAAACATAAGTGCATGTCGTAACCCACTCTACGGCAGGGGATAAAACAAAACGTTTGGTGTTCGCAACGTGGTCGAGTGTTCCACTCCCCCCAGACAACAAAACAGGTGATGAAACTGCGAGCGCGCGCCTATCCCTCAGCGGCACAGTCCCTCCGTTCTCTCCCTCTCCCTCTCATCTTACCGCTCTGAAGAGCCGGCTGACACGCCCCCTCCCCAGCCCTGGAGAGCCGGTTGACGCGTCCCTCCCCTCCCCCTCTTACCGCTCTGGAGAGCCGGTTGACGCGGTGCGTGGAGAGCTGGTCGTTGTCGGCCAGTCGCAGCAGCCGCTGCAGCAGCTCGGAGGGCACCGGCCGGCCGCCGTACGCCACTAGGAACGAGGCCAGCTCCACCAGCCGGTTGGTGCTCACCACCGCGCGGCAGTGCAGCTCCAGGCGCCGGCCCAGCTCGGCCTCCAGCTCCGGCAGACCGCAGCTGGGCGACAGCTGCAAACGGACTGGGAGGGTTACACAATGACCGTGGACAGCAGTGAACGGACGGACAGGGGTAGACTAAACGCTGAAGCAGACTCCTTTCGCATTCAGGAAATCGCACGCGAGAGCCGATTCAAATACATTATAATTCTTCCCGCATCAATTGCATGCGGCAGGTTCGTGCGATTGATGCGAGCGTGCTTTCATGTATTTGAATAGGCGCTGTCACGCAATTTGCTGACTGCAGAAAGAGTCTGTTTCAGGCTTTACGTACAGCTGCCGAACGGGCAGGGTGACGGACTAGTGGACAGGTACGAATTACGGACGGGGAGCGTAATGAGCTCGCCCCAGCTTTTATGAAAAGTGTTAGCTGCAACACTCCCACTATCCCGTCCCATGGCTCCGCCCAGGGTATCCTGAACTGGGCCTCCAGTCTCCACCGACCTGCGCCATGTGGCTGAAGTAGGCCAGCGCGTGCCGCCGGGTGACGCTCTGCTCAGAGACGATCCAGGCGTCGGGCCGGTGCAGGGTGCGCAGGAACAGCTGCCAGAGCCGGCGGTGCTCGGCCGGCCGCTGCGGCCGCACCTCCGACAGCAGCTGGCGCGCGCGCTGCAGCTCCGTCAGCAGACGGATCCGGGACGCCTTGTCGGCCAGCGGCTCCGGCGCGTCCAGCCGGTCCTCGAGTCCCTGCAGCGAGTCCCTGCCCAGGGACAGGCCCGCCGAGTCACACTGCGGTACGGGGTGGGACCGGCCGGGTCTAGGTACGTCCACGTGACGGAAATATGCAAACATGATTTTCAAAGAAGGGAAATTCACATTCAAAGGCGGGAACTGAATGCCTGTCTGGTCTAACACAGAGCTAGTGAAATAATCGTTGTCATGGCGGCCACTCACCGGGCGGTCCGCAGCAGGCTGTCCCGACTCCCGCGGCCACTCACCGGGCGGTCCGCAGCAGGCTGTCCCGCAGCCACTCGGGGAAGATGCGGCTGGGCGCGGCCGTGTCGAGCAGGCGCAGCTGGGCCAGCTCGGCCGGCTCCTGGGAGAGCAGCGCCACCGCCCGCTCGGCCAGCAGCCGCTCCACGGCCGGGGACGCCTCGCGGAAGCGCAGCACCGCCTGCCCCAGCTGGCCGGTGACGACGGCCGGCGGCCGCGGCTCGGCGCGCACGTACAGCGACGCCAGGTCGCGGCACACCAGCGCCAGCCAGTGGCGCAGGCCGCGCGAGTTCAGCACCTTGAACAGCTTGAACACCGAGTCGACGTCGTCCGGCCCGACATCGCGCTCGGCGATGAAGCGCCGCACCACGTCCATAAAGCGACGCTCGCCGTCCACCGAGACGTAGCTGAGCGCGCTGTGCAGCGCCGTGGCCAGCAGGCGCAGCTCGTGCCACGAGCCGCACGTGGCCGTGTAGTGCGCCAGCGCGCGCAGGTAGGGTTGCACCAGGCGCGGCGGCCAGGGCCGGGTCGAGTCGTGCAGCTGGAGACAGACGCCGAGTCGGCTGAGCGCCGTTAGCGAGAGGCGCGGCAGGCGGGCCGTGCACAGCTCCTCCAGCCGCGCCTGGGCCGCCCGCCAGTCGGGGCCCTCCAGTCGCACCACACTGCAGGCGAGCAAACAGTTAGTCACAGACCACGTCACCACACTGCTACTGGAGAACAGCAGCAGGCTACAAAAACATCAAAATTATTCTCGCATCAAACCCGCAGGTACTTATCCTATTAAACACTCAGCCTTTGGAATAGTTAACCTGGTCTCAACATCCAGCGGATCCACAGAGGGCCACTGACCTGTAGAGGGCACAGACAAGTGCCAAGTCGTCACAAGAGTCTGCCTGGCGCAGCAGCTCGTCCATCAGGCGGGTGTAGTCATCCGCGGGCAGCGAGCCAGGCTCCTCGTCAAGTTTGTGCAAGTCCCAGAGAGACACTACAGCCTGGCAGAGGTGGCGCGGGTCCGTGGACTCCCCCAGCACCGCAAACACATTATCCACAGAGGTTGTCCTGTCAGATAGCAGAATGCACATTATTTGTCAGGCCACAACTTATATGAAAATAAACTTAATGCTTGAAGCAAAAACTCAGAAGGAAAAAACAAGATAATGTTGTAACAAAATGGTACACCAGACATTCAAAGGCTTGAAAATATTCGATTTCTAATGCTTCATACAATTGATCTATGGGTAAAATCAAGCTTAAACTGCTAAGTACACCTTTTTTCGATCCGAATCGGCAACTGGTCAGTTAGTTTCGGCAGATCTGCATTAGGAACGGCAGCTGGAGTGCGCTTTCGACAAACCACGCCTCAAACTCGGCATAGTGCAGCAGCGTGACATGGGGCATTTAATGTCGACAATGAGCGTGATTTCGACACCGGCTAATGGATTTCGGCACACGGCAAAGGACTGTGACATCGGGCATTGGAAAAAGGCAAATTTCATTTTACAATGGCAATGGTCATGCAGTTTCGTTGGCGGTATATCGAACAAATTTCAAACCATTCTTTTTACATTGATGCGTTTTCAATGCTTACCACTAGAATTTATAGCATTTTTTCCTTTTCTTAGACTTCCCTTAGAGTAATGGAACACAAAATACAAAATGTACGCCAAGGCCGTTGTTTTAAGGTCTAAACGTTTTTTTTTTTCTTCTGTGAATGGAGGGTGAGTAGGCTAGCAAGCCATGTCAGAGTCGTGAGATGAGAGGATCATGCGGAGGAAGCATTTGGGTGAGTCTACCAGTGACCGGTGAGCTGCGGCGGCTGACAAGGCGCCGGTATAAAACTGTCTCGCTACGGATATGCAGCCAAAGCGATCGATGGGTCAGCCCGCAGGGTTTCCACCTTTCCAGAGGGCAGTTTTTTTTTGTCCGGAAATACAGTTGACCATGATTGACCACACCGCCGTCCTGCAAACATTGTTGCCGCTCTCCGGTGACATGCCTATTCCCATCTCGGCAGACTTGAACCATCCGCGCTGGGGGTCAGCGCCACTCACAATGTGTCGACAGATCGACACAAATGAAAAAATCAAGATTTTTGTTTTTCACGCAAGAAATACGGCTAAAACATGGTCAACTTTAGATGCGTTGAGAGGAGCGAGGCCCCGAATCACCCCCGTCAACCTTTGGATTCGCCAGGAGCGTGGCCCCGAATGACCCCCGTCGCCCTTTGGATTCGCCAGTGCTTCCACATTGTCACAGAGTGACGCAAGGATGGTGACCTCGAATGAGGTCAGCTTGTGTGCCGGAAGCGGATGATGTTAGGGACTAACCGGTGTTAAGGTTCCAGAGCGACTGACGAAATTAGGTGCCCTTTGCCGTATTCCAATGAACGATTACCGATTCGGATTGAAAAAGGTGTGGTTACTTAGCAACCAAGCGCCCATATTGAGTGTCTCTTTACAGTACCGTGGAACATTTTAACGCACATTCTTAAAATGCCTTTTCGAAAAGATAAGAGTTGCTTAATTCACTGATGAGATAAATTGACCATTGTCTAGCTTGGCTGCAAGCTGCCGACTTAAAATGCAATATGACAAAACATAATGCCCTTTGTCGATATTAAATACCCCTGCTGTTGTTCAATGACGCTGGTCAAATATCAACAGATGCTAGTCTAAATCCGTGAAACTTGTCGAAATGCGTGCTCCAGTGTCGAGTTGTTGGAGTGCCTGTCGAGATAAGGTGCCCGGTGCCGTATTTGAATGAACGGATGCCGATTCGGATTGAAAAAAGGTGTAGTTACTAGTTACACTTCTTAAATCCACTGCAATGTTTCATACATCCAGCTGCAGATTAACTGACCTTCCCATTGCCCTAAGTACAGGGTCATCTGAGTCTGGGTAGAGCTGAAGCCGTACATTGTCTGGCTCATCAGCCTCATCCAGCAGACTGCCAGAGTCATCTGTCTCATTGTCCGAGAATGGCCGGTACGGAGAGTGCTGGCAGGAATGCGCCTTGTGTGTGCACAGAGGTCGTTCAACCTGAAAGTCTACAATAGCATCTTTATTGGTTGCAGGTTCTTATTGTAGGAATGCAACATATTGTGAATGATTGGGTAGGTACCTACTCAGCTCATCTCAAATTAACACATCAAGATGCTTGCAGTCACAATTTACAAACTGAAATCAATACAAAAAGGTTTAAAATGGTGGATGACATGGTTTCAGTTATCACAAAACTATGATTGAGCAGTCTGACACTTTTCTGGTATGATTATTTTCTATTAAGAATCATAACTTTCTCACCTTTGAATTTTGACGCCCCTACAAAGTCAAATTCTGATTTCAGTTTCAAGTAAGAGAGTTGACAGGCATTTATTCGACGGAATCCTGGATGGTATCTTCCCTTAGGTCTACTTGTTACCCGTAAAACACGCATAACGTTCATCTCTTAGTAGCCCAAAATTTTACTGAAGTGCCATCCTACTCTTAAATTAATCACAGTGGATAGAAATATAATTAATCATATCGAAAGCAGGTATATTTACATGTGACAGACGATTGTGGCGGGTTGCATACAATTTGCGTTCAAAGTTTCTTCTACGAGCAGCATCAACAGTACCACGAGAACTGACCAATCAGCGCTCGTAGGAGCATGGCGCTGATTGGCCCAACGCATCCTCTGCGGGCAGCATTTGCATTGAACGAATAAATGAATAAATGAATGAATGAATGAATGAATGAATGAATTATATCTATGGGATGAATGAGTGAGCGAATGAATGAGTGAATAAATGAACGAGACCGAGATGCAAGTTCTTGGTAACCAAAACAAGCACACTGACATAACCAAGCTAACCTAGCCCAGCCTAGTCTAGCCTAGTCTAGCCTAGGTCTGAATTCAAGGTAGGTACGTTTTTCGGCTACTATAGTCGTTTATTGTTTTCGTTTCGAATTTTCGGCCTTCGCATCGAGGTCGTTGTCAAGAAACATATAACAAAAAAACGTACCTACCTTGAATTAAGAGGTATATGTCAAGTTTAGGTCCTAACTACAATTGTGACGCTGTTGATACGAATATGAAACAGCAAAAATTTTAGGTTTTAAATACGCAACCGAAGTCGTGACGTCACGATAAGTGGCTGGGGCATAATCAGCTGACGGCCCCGTGCTAAAGCAATGGGGCAATATTTTGCCGATCTTTCCCAAGAAAACTGGACCTAGTTAGATAGTTTTAGTAGCTGAATTTAGGACAACGATGTATGATCTATTTTTCTATGAAAAAATATTGCAAACTCTAACAACGCAAAACACAAAATTTCGTGAAAACCTAATTGGCGGCGAAGTTGACGCAGAAATACAAAACATTTTGTATCAAGATGTTTAAGATAATGGATTTAAAATAAAAAAGATTTTCAAAATAACCTATATGGTGAATTTTATCCTTTGCTTTTTACAAATAAAAAATATTTATCCAGCTCAAACTCAAATATGTCAAACCTTACGCATCAAAATCCTCCCAACGCGGTCACAGTTCGCATCTCAAGGTCATGTATTTGGTGCGTCAGGTTCGCCGCCCATAACAATTTCGCGAAATTCGGTCCTTTCCGCTTTGAAACATAGCATTTTTTGGGCCTAGAAAAATAGAATATACTCAGTTTACCTAGAAACTGGCCCCCAAACTATCTAACTAGGTCCAGTTTGTTCTAAAAATACTGATAAAATTTCGTCCCATTGCTTTAACACAGGGCCGTCAGCTGATTATGCCCCAGCCACTAGTCATGACGTCACACTTCGGTTGCGTATTAGGTTAGGTTGTAGGTTTGTAGGTTTTAGGTTGTAGGTAGGTAGGTTTGTAGGTTAGGTTAGGTTAGGGACGGGTAGGTTTGTAGGTTGTAGGTTGGTAGGTTATAGGTGGGGCATTCCACGATAGATCGACCAAAAATAAATAAAATTTACACCCTCATATTTTATTTTTTGCTTAAAATTGGTCTAATGGGTTGTGATGGGCGGGGAACCCAGCTGTGGCAAGGATTTTTTTCTTCGAACAACGGTTTCCGAGATATAGCCTCGGGCAGTTCCTGGAGGTCACACTGCAACCCTATGTTTGGCGGCTTATAACTCAGAAACTATTGGTTTTCTATGGTAAAAACTTTATATGGTTCAACTCGCAATCAACCAACAAACGTTTTGGCTATCTCGAATTTTCGATTTTTGAAAATTTTGATCACGTGACATCTTGACCTTTTTTTCGAAGAGTGACCTTGATATTATCCCAACTGAAAGTCGCAATTTTGTCTGATGACGATTAAAGCCTTATCAATTGTCATTCATATGCGATAATAAAAAAGTGGCTTTCGGCCTGCGTTGACCTCAGGTCAGGTCATTTTTATGACCTTCCCATTATTACGAGCGGGAGCGACAGCGAGATTTCGAGAACAAAGCAAGATAGCGACAAGTAGTAAACGGCACAAAGTACACATGAATAAGGTCTACAATTTTTACTCAGGTCATTTTCAGGTCAGGTCAAAGATGACGTCACAGGGGTAAAAAGAAAGTCTAAATGGCGGCACTACATATATATGAAGTTTTTCTCGAATTACTTTCAAAGTATCTCAGCTATGAACAAACTAATAGCACCATCGTGATCCTCTCGTCGATCCGCATCGAAACATGTATATGTTGACCTCGAAAGGTCAAGGTCAAAAGTTGACCTTAGGTCACGTGACCTTAAGGTCATCATATATATCATTCGATGGGCCTTGACGAGCTGAACACAATGAGCCTATCCGCGCGGCTGTATCTCAAACCTGTAAGGAGTTATTAGCAAAAAACATTTGGTGACCTTAAATGACGTCACATGACCCAAGAGCAACGTCACAGTTGACCAAGAGCAAAAAAGGTCTCAAGGTAGTCAAAGTTAGTCGTATATGAAGTCACTCATGGTATATTAGGCAATTCCGACGCGTTTTAGTGTAAAAACAAGGGAGCTGATTTTTCCCCAATTGACTTATAATGGGGTGGTCAAGAAATTGACCTGATCTTAGGTCATCGGTATCGAAATTCAAAACGAACTGGCGCTAGGCGAAAGCAAACACAATGGTGCCTGTTCCACGTCTCTTTCGTTATTAGATCAAAAGGTACAGCCAAAACTATTTTGACTTCCTTTTTAACCCTGTGACGTCATCTTTGACCTGACCTGAAAATGACCTCCGTAAAAATTGTAGACCTTATCCGTGTGAATCCTGCACCGTTTACCGCTTGTCGCTATCCTGCTTTATTCTCGAGATCTCGCGTCGCTCCCGCTCGTAATAATGGACAGGTCATAAAAACGACCTGACCTGAGGTCAACGCAGGCCGAAAGCCACTTTTTTATTTGCGCATATGAATGACAATTGGTAAGGCTTTAATCGTCATCAGACATAATTGCGACTTTCAGTTGGGAAAATATCAAGGTCACTCTTCAAAAAAAAGGTCAAGATGTCACGTGATCAAAATTTTCAAAAATAGAAAATCCGAGATAGGCAAAACGTTTGTTGGTTGATTGCGAGTTGAACCATATAAAGTTTTTACCATAGAAAACCAATAGTTTCTGAGTTATAAGCCGCCAAACATAGGGTTGCAGCGTGACCTCCAGGAATTGCCTGAGGCTATATCTCGGAAACCGTTGTTCGAAGAAAAAAATCCTTGGCACAGCTGGCTTCCCCGCCCATCACAACCCATTAGACCAATTTTAAGCAAAAAATAAAATATGAGGGTGTACGGCTTTGGTCGATCTATCGTGGAATGCCCCAGGTAAGTAGGTAAGGTTAGGTCAGGTTTGATTGTTTTTTTCTTTTATTTGCGACACATATGAGTATCATTTTTGGATTCAGGATGTCAAATAATGTAAAAATATGAAAAAATTTATCAATGAAATCTTCTTAGGACTTAAACTTGACATTTACCGAATTAAGATGTCTAGTCGTAAAAGCTTGAAATTATATAGCCTTGAGAAGCGTCTAGCCTTGGTCTAGCCTGGACCTTACTTGTTTGAACTTAGAAGCGAGACGGATCAATGAATAAGAATTGAAAATGATTGTCTGAATTTGACATTTCAGCGAACAAGTTTCTGGCGGTATTAAAGAAGTACAGGCACTGCTATGGTCATAGGCGGCGGAACGGGGAGGGCACCGGGGCACCGTTCCCCCTCCCCTTTGATTTTGGCATTTTAACATTAGCCCTATGGGCGATGCATGAAAAGAATGGGACCAAAAGTCGGCAGTGCCACCCCCCCCCCTAATTGAAGGTGTTCCGCCGCTACTATGGCACTATGTTGTTCGGTACAGCTTGAATTGTGACGTCTTTACGAATATGATTGTGAGTGTTTTCTTTTTCGTTTTTAACAAACGCCCAAAAAATTTAATTACGGAATAAAACGTTCCCAATGAAATTCATGCCAGCGTGATCGCTTGCCCGCGTCAGGCCCGCGTGCACCGCGAAAACCAAACACGCCCGCCGCGCCGCAGCCGGCCTGTGGGGCTCGTCACGTCCGGCGGCAGAGACGGCAGCTGGCGGGCCGGGTTTGTTTACACGGGCACGTTCCGGGTCGGTCCCAGCCTCCGCTCCCGGATCCCACGGGGGGGGGGGGAGGGGCTCCGGAGCGGGTCACAGGCGCGCGGAGCTCGCTGCCGACCCAGCGGAGCGCGGAGACTGCCATTGGGGGCAGCCCACGGATAGAGGACATGGTATGGACTATGGCAGCTGATGTCCCTGGGGTAGTCCGTACATTGGCGGCACGGCTCAGTGTCCCAGCGCACTGACGTCACGAAGAACACCCTCTTGTAAACTTTTCAGCGTCGATTCGCAACTCTCAGTACCAGATTTCAACAACCACCCTATGTCCAGGGAAATGTAACCAACCAGTATAACGCCTTTTGGGGCGACTAACGGAGCGAGCGAGAGGGTGAGCCTTGCACGTGCGAAATTGCGAGGGGGTACCTCCAACTGAGTTGTGCACGGCACCCTACTAACCGGTCTCTAGCGATGTGCCAAATTTGAGCACAATCGGCCCAGCCGTTCTCGAGATCTGGAAGCGGCACCCTGCACGTGCGCACGTGCAAAATGGGTCCCAACTGACTTTTGCACGGCACCCTACTAACCGGTCCCTAACCATGTACCAAATTTGAGCGCCATCGGTCCAGCCGTTCTCGAGATCTGGAATCGACCCCTGCACGTGCGCACGTGCAGCAGCACCTCAACTCTGGCACATGGATATGCATTGCATAGTGGGTGCCTACCTACATGCCAACTTTCAGCGCAATCGGCCAAGTAGTTACCGAGATATTGCAACAATTACAAAACTGACACCTCTTCGTTTTGCACGTGGCACGTGCATAAGGGGTCACCCACATGCATCGGGAATAGTCCAATACTTGGTAGAAGGAATGAAGCTACCCTACAAAATTTACCGCATGTAAATCGGTCAAGTGGTTGCTGAGATATAAGCCTCGCAAAAGCGTGACCACGGCCGGCCGGCCGGCCGGCCGGCCGGCTGGCCGGCCGGCCGCTCATAC